TCTAGGTAATATCTTAAGATCCACTTACACTTCATAAATTATACCTCTTCACATTAGTTTAGTTGTGAGGTGAAAGTTATTCATAAAGTTGAAAACTATGGTTTTTATTATGAGGGAAAAACTTAACCTAAATAAACCAAAGAGCATTCCATAAGAAACTAATAAATACATGAAAAGAAAAATGTGCTACTAAGAAAATCAGAATGGAAAAAATCTCCTATTAAACAAATTTAGCATTTATTTACTGAAGAATGTATAAAAGCCGCCTTCCAAGTACTAAAGTAAATGGTGATCTCTAAAACAGGTATATAATAGGCAATGCCAACAAATTCATTTGCCTGTAGATCTTTTCTTTTTCAATTAAGCCCACTTTCTGGAGTTACTGTTCCCATGGGACTCACAGAACCAGTTTTGAGATTGCCAAAAGGGTGATGGGGTGGGGGAGGGCTAATGTGAAATTTAGATTTGTGATAAAAGCCTTTTGGAAAAAATAAGTATTTTTCCAAAAAAGGCAGCTACAAGTGACTTATGACCATATCAACATATTGATCACAAGCTACCTGTATGTAAAATCTGTTCAACAGCAAGAGCAATATACGAAAGTAAACCAGGCATGACCAATAAGTATTAAGAGGAGTGAAGCATCCTTGATGCAAACTTTAAGGAGGCATGCCTATACACGACTGACCCTAAAATTGAAAATTCTTTCAAATTTTCTGCCCAAGAGAGTTGACTGTCCTCACTTTAGTTCAGCCCTTCAGAAAACATGGAACATCTCACTTCATTCTTATGGAAGAATTTTGCCTAATAACCTCAGAACTCTATTATGATATGCTGAAATTCATTTTAAAAATTTAAGATAATTTTTAAATGAAGGACAATTTAAAAATGGAGTAAATCCCTTTAAAAAAACACAGAAATACAGAATCATATAAAATAAAAAGTGAGGTCTTTCATCACCACAAGATATATACTCAAGATATGTGAAAACAAGTCCACCCAGAAACTTGTACACAGTGTTCATAGCATTATTATTCAGATAAGCCAAGAAATAGAACAAACCAAATGTCCACCAGCTCATGGTATGTAGCTCCATAAAACAGGAATAGGATCTACCCCTAAAAAAGAAGGGAATTCTAAGATACAATATAGATGACACTTGAACATTATGTCAAATGAAAAGAAACAAAAAAAGGTCACATATGGCCATATCTTTGATATTAATGTTCAATACTCATAATTATGTTGAGTACAAATATGATTCTATTTATATGCAATGACCAGAATAAGAAAATCAAGAGGAAGAAAGCAGATTAGTGGTTGCCAGTGTAGGATGGTAGGGGGAAGACAGGGAGTAACCCCTAATAAATAAAGGGCTGCTTCCTAAGGAATATTCTGGAATTAGATACTGAAGATAGTTACACAATAGTGAGACTATATTAAGAAATATTTAAATTGTATTCATGAAAATAGTGAAGTATGTTTTTGTGTGGGATATACAAATAATGATTTTTTTTTTGGTAATATTGGCATTTGAGCACAGGACCCCCGAATATTAGGTAGGCACTCTATGACTTGAGTCATGCCTCCAGCCCCTTTTGCTTTTGTTAATTTTCAAATAGGGTATTGCATTACATTAGGTAAGTACACTTGGGACAACAGGCATGCATCACCAAGTCCAGTTTATGGATTAACCTTTTGGCAGACTGACATAGAACCTCAATCCTCCTGATCTCCACTTCCTGAGAGGGTGGCAGGAGCTCCATGATTAGCTTAAATAATTTTTAAATTTTAAAAAAAGTCAATCCCCAGTGACACCAAAAAAAAAAGTAAGTCTGTAACTCAGACTTACACAGTACTTGTTATATACCAGTGCATTTGTAAATGTTTTACTGAGTTAACTCATTTAATCCTTAAAACAATCCTACTAGGAATCTTTTAGAGATAAGGAAGCTGAGGCACAGGAGTGTTAAGTAATCTGTTTAAAGTCTGTTTTGTTTTGTTTTTGTTTTGCTTTGTGACAGAGCTGAACTTAGGAAAGCAAGCAGTCTCACTTCAAAACTCAGGGCCACCCACTAACCAGGAGCCACTACCATTACCAAACTGGGCTATATATTCACTTCCAAATAAATCCCACTGAGGGAGTACATCTAATTTAAGTTTTATCTATGGTTGTTTTAGCACTACAACAACAGAGTTGAATAGTGGTGACAGAGACTGTATGACCCAGCAAAACATAAATGATTTCTACCTTGATTTAAGAGAAAAATTTTACTGATACTCGGTAATGCTATACATGATACTATAAAACTGTTTTTGTCACTAAACATTATATCATGTTCAAGTTTCCAGATTTCTTTAATTTCTTTAAATGTCTGCAAAATAAAAATGCCGTCACAGTTACTAAATCACTTGCAATGGACTAAATGTTTTCCCCCCAAAATTCATATGTTGCAATCCTCAGCCCAAGGCAATGGTATCAGGTGAGGCTTTTAAGAGATTGTTAGATCATGAAGGTGGAGCCCTCGTGAACAGGATTTAGTGTCCTTAGGAAAGCAGCACCAGAGAACTGATTTGCCTCTACTACTATATGAAGTTATGTTAAAAAGATGACCATTTGTGAACCAGGAAGCAAGGCCCTATTGGGACTCAGAATCTGCCAGTGCCTTTATCTTAGAATCAGCAGACTCTAGAATTGTAAGAAAAAATTTCCTGTTGTGCATGAGCCATCAAGTCTATGCCATTTTGTTATAGGTAAGACATTTTCCCTATTGATGAAAACATATCATGTCCTTTACTAAATTGCTCTCAAAACAGTTGAATTAGTTATTTACCTTTTTAAGAAATATAAAAATAACCTACATTTTGATGGCCCTGGTACATGGACTTTGAGATGCTTTCTGTCTCACCTAAATAAACGCTCCTCTCTGGGCTGTTCAGTGGCCACCCAACCTTAATGTTGAGTGCTGGGCAGATAACTGTTTGACAGTTTGGAGCTGAACTGTCAGGTCAACATGGCACAAAATGTATGCAATGATCTATTTCTCATTCTTCTCAACTACCTTACCTCTTCCTAGCAGGGGTCTCTTACGTAGAAACTTCTGTTCTTTTACAAGCGGTTGGAGGAGTGGGGAGTAGCTACTACTATTCTGTTGAGCCCCTATAATGAATACTGTGATGTCCCACTAGATCCCTTCCCTTTCATGACTGAGGCATTCATTCTCCTTTTGATACCTCAGGACTCTTTCAAGAGTTGTTTCTCTCTGTTCTCTCTCTGGTAATTGCCTTCAGGTGAACAAAGGCACCTTTCCCAAACCCATGTCTCTTTCTCTGAGGGAGATTACAACCAATAACTTGTGAATGTGGAAATAAGCACACACCTCTTTGCTCAAGGACAGCTCCAGAGCTCCCTGTGGAATCAAGACCTCTGTCAAACTTCCTTAAGTGAGACTTCTGCTCATTTCCCTCACCCCAAAAACATGATGCCTTGAGAACACCACTCCACAAATTGTCTTAAAGGACTATTTCCTAAGAAATTAGTCCCCCTCTAATTCTTCCTATTGGGAGGCAGATGTGATATTTGATATTATTTCTGAGTTTAAGAGAAGAAAATGACCATACCAAGGATGTGAGACAGAAGAGAGTTTCTAGGGACTGTCCATGGTATCAGCTACTAAGCAGGAACTCCAATAATATCTGGCTGCAGGCTTTGTACAACTCAAGAATTGCCTTCATTTTGTTAGTACATGCCAGAGGAATAGCAGCCTGTGATGAATAGCCCTGTAATATATTCTTAGTCTAGCAAGAGAACACCATCCCCTGATACTTTGGAAAAGCAGCCTGAATTCCTAGATTCAGAAGAAAACTGAAATGTTAGAGGCAGGGAAATGACCAACACTGGAAAGCTCATTGGAGGACAGTCACTAAAATAAGAATGTTTCACTCACAAGAGTGAACAGAACATGATGCTAAGCATTGGATACCCTGGAAAGTGCTCTGCTGGGAAGCAGCACTTAGATTAAGGATCCTCCACACAACAGAAAAACTAAAAAAGAAAAAAAAATTCCTTTAAACACATGGAAATAAAGTTCTAGCATGTCACAAAGTATTCTAGAAAAGAACCTGGAATTGGAAGTGGAGACGGATGACTTTGGAATACAGACTCTGGGGATGCAGCCACTGATTCTATACATGTTAGTCTGATGCTTGTGTTTCTATGAACCCAGAACTATTACTACTATCACTTGTCTGATCCAAAAAAACCAAGCTCAAACATTTAACACCATGACCTCAGAACTAATGAATTCCAGAGAGAAGATAAATGCTCTGTGGAGAAATACATTCCTTAGCACTTCTTTCTGTTGAATATAAATTTTATAGTATCTTAGATTTGGTGTTATTTAAATAAGAGGGAGGAGAAGGGGAGAAGGAGGAAGGAAAAGAGAGAAAAAGAAGGCAACAGAAGATCAGGGCAAAGGGAGACGAAAGAAAGAAAAGGAAATTTATTTATTTAAAGTAAGTTCTCTAATTCTTTTTCAAAAGACTGGAATTCCAGAAAGCAATCTGTTTTATAACTTACAAATGAGGCCTAATAAAAAAAGGAGAAAGGTAAAAGTTACTGAAGCCTTCTGCTTCTGATTTCTACTGGGCATTGCACATAGCACAGAGCACAGAGACATAGAAGATTCAAAGAATGTATTCAAGATTTTGTAAACATAAGGTACCAGAGATTCCAGTTTCAAGCAACAGATTACTAGCTGAAGAAATGGCTGAAAGGTTCTGAGATCTTTCTCAGGCTGTGCTTCATGAGGTAGTCATACCAGTTTTTGCAGAAATGCAGGAATTATTGCAAAATGGCTAGGTTTTAAAAACATATTAGCAAAGCTTAACTTTACATAAAAGAGAAAAAAATATTTCAAAAAAAAACTTAAAAAAGAAATCCATCTGTTTTATTTCTTAACTTTTTCTTTTTTTAGAAAGGAGGAAATCTTCCAGCTCACCTGTATCAAACCCCACACTTGGTACAATATCCACTGTTCCATGAAAGGCTCCGGCCCACGCTGAGGTAGCAGTGGTGACTGTAGTCGGATCTGTCTTTGTGATGTCACACTGGGGGGCAGGAATCCTGGCCGCACGCACTGATGGCATTAGCAGGGGCCCATAGGAAGGATCCAAAGCAGAGCCAGCAGCAGGGTGATGATGGTGGTGGTGGTGATGGCGTCGGTGGTGCACGTGGGCATGGGGGTGGTGGTGCCTCATGTACACGTCATGCATGTGGCTGTAGGATGGGCTCACCTGAGATGCCAAAGGATAGTGCCAGGACTCAGACGCAGGAGGGGGAGGAGGTGGGCCAGTTTGATGCAGACCATGGCTTGACCAAGGGCTGGGGTCAGCTGCAGTAAAACTGCCAGGGGGTGCAGAGACCTGGAAGTCAGGATGAACTCCCCCCAGACAGGGTGCAGGTGGGGGCTGGTAAGAGCTGGTCCAAAAGGAAGCTGGGAAACTACTCCGCTGGTTTGAGAGAGCTGAGCTGTCTGAGAAGATAGAAAACACATTATTTAAGATTCAGTTCCAGGATAGACTTGCCTTTACTTGTCCCATAATATTTTATAAGCAGGTGGATTAGCATGCACTCTTCTGTTCCCCACACAGGGGTGAACTGATACCAGGTTAGCCTCTGGGCTCCCATGCCAAGACAATGAGCAATATTCAACATGATGAGTGAGCCCCTCCCCCCAATTTGCTCACTTAGCCTATTCTGTCCCAGTGTCTGTCTGCCAGTGATTTGTAAGTTTATGACTCCTCTTGGGAGTCCTGTGGTCCTTAGATCTGAGAGGGAACATAGCTACATATTCCTCTGGTAAAGAAAACATGCTATAAGTGACTGCATGTAGATTGGAAATAATTTTACCAACTTATTTTAAATGCAATTTTCATTCAAACCAAATAGTTCAATGCCAAAAGTAACAAATGGAGTTAAAAATCACACTTAACTGTGTTCACCTACTCATTTACCATTATGAAGACTGCATTTATTTTATTTCATTTTTTCCCCCTGTGGAAACCTGGGAGTCTGTGGACTGAGAATAACAATGGTTAACATTTAATGAGAATCACCAAATGCCACATACCAGCTCCAGGTCTTTTCATGTGTAACCTGGTAAGAGCCTCAATCCAGTCCTGTGAGGTAGTTGTTTTGTTATCTCTCTTTGGAGACCAGATTATGGGGGCAGAGAAGAAGCCTAATTCCACACTGGCAAGAACAAGCCTAAACCTGGGCTTTGAGGCCAGGGATTCTTCCTCAAGGCCAAAGGCTTCATAACTGCCACAAGGGGGCACAATAATAACTACACCTTGAACACCTGGACTTTGTTACTGATTCTCTGGAGATCATAACTGGAGGAGAGTCAGGTAGGAGATGGAAAATACCAAAGAAGAGCATTTAGATGAAATAAGGAAAAGGGAGAATTCTCCTTAGCTCAGCACCAATCCCATCAATTCTAGGTCTCAATCATGTCAACATATGGATGACCTACCATGTGACAAACATAGATAGGTCAGGGATGACTACACAGATGTAACTTCTTTTTTTTTTTTTTTTTTTTTTTTTTTGTCAATACTGGCAGTAAAACTCAGGACCTTGCACTTCTAGGCAGGTGTCTACGACTTGTGCTTTGCTCCCCAGCCCTATTTTTTTTTTCCATTTTATTTTTTGAATAGGGTCTTGCACTTACGCTCAGGCTAGCTGTGACTTCAATAATCCTACTTTTGCTTCCTGTGCAGCTGCCATGACAGGTTCACACTGCTGTGCCCAGACATTTTACTGAGATGGGGTCTTGTGAACTATTGCCTGGACTGGCCTTGAACAAGGATCCTCCTGATTTCTGTCTCCCAAGTAGCTAGGATTACTGTTTATTATGTATAACAAGTATATACACTATATACTTATTATTTGCAATAACTATTATGTTTAGTAAGACAGTACTTTTCATTCTGATTCCACATAAAAGGATCTGCTAGACCTTTCCATTAAATGAAGACATCCTAAGAAGTGCTCCAAATTAGAAGTATTGTAATTCTAAAGTTTAGCATATCTATTATTTCACCTCATAAATTTCCAGGACATAGTTATCCTGCCTCAGGGAAAGTGCAAATACCTTGGATCAATCACCAACACATCATGAGGTTAATATAACAAAGCTGTTACTGTGGAGTTCAAACATTTTCTCTAACTTTTCTAACTGCTGTGGCACTAGTACTGCCCTTGCATTCTGTCCCTTCATCCCTACACCAGAGCTACCAGCATTTACCCCATTTGCCCTACTAATACAGTGATTTACAGTCTCACAGTCAAGTGTTCCTTACACAGTATCACCATGGATCTTAAACCCTTTGAGAAACCTAGTAAATAATGTTCTTCAAGATGCAAAGAATGGGACTACATACTCACCCAATCTTCAAACATTCCCAACAAGTTTTTTAGCTGAATGACTTTGCTTTGTCACAAATACAGTCTTTCAAAAGACAGTACTTAAAATCAAACCTACTGGTATTATAGCAAACATGTTAAACTTAACCATTTTCTCCCTTTGGCATATGAAAAGTGTTGCTAATGAAAAGAAAAATTATAAAACTTGTGAGAAGAAAATTCAATTTGTCTTCAGTGATGGCCATTTGTAAAATATTTTGTCACGCCTACAATGAGTGATTAATATTTAAAACTTAAGCCCCACAAGAAGTTTATAAAGGTTTCCTAAATTACATACTTTGTCACTTTGCTTTCACTGCTCCCATCTTTGAAATAAAGTCTCATTCTGCTCAAAACTTTCATCACCTGGTGCAACCAGGATCCCATTATGAAAACTGTTGAACCCCAACCCACAAACATGTACTAAAGAGTTCTCTTATTAAGATGGTAAATGTATATGGAATATACCATTTCTCCATTTTCTTTTTGTTTCTTCTCACTTATATGTATGTGGAGCCAATCTTATAGATGTGTAAGCATTTTAGATATGCATACACAATTACACATAATGAACAAATTCCTTACCAAAATAAAATGGAGAATTATATTGTGAGAAGTGAACACATTATCATTGAATATAGACATCTATTTTTAAAAACGTACTCTGTAAAGATTGAACAAAGCTTTAAAATCTCCCAGGGAAAAATAAAATTAAAAGCAACTTAATATTTTCCCCGTTGGCATAAGTCTCCCAAGGCTAATATAAAGTTTCCAGAGATGTATGCAGTCCTTTTCAAAAACACTGTTGTACTTTACAAGTATGTGAAACAATATTGAATGGAAAATATGTTTATGAAGAAATCTATACTTCAGAATCACTATTTAGTATCTTGCTTGTTTAAAAAAAAATCTTGACACAAAGAAACAGATGATATGCTTTGCTTCATGCTGGAGAATCAATGTGCTTACTTCGTATGTATGTAAGTTTTTTCATTACGTGACTTTTTGCTTATGAGTACTTAATCACAGCCACATTTGTTGGATGAAAAAGCATATGAAGAACTGCATGAGCTATTTTTATGCAATATTGCTTTTTAGGTTTATGGAGGCAATTCAGAACTATATGATATTAGCAGCCTATGGTGACTTTGGATTTGCCATTATTCAATGTATGGGTGATTTTAGTCAGTATTTGTTTAAACTGGTAGTCTAACACATATGTAGAAGCAAAATGTAATTTGGTTCAGTGTGCATTTGTGATTAAAGAATCTCTCTCTCTCTCTTTCTCTCTTTTTCTCTCTTTCTTATACACACACACACGCAGTCTTATTTCTAAACAAAAAAATGAAATGACAAAATTGGTATATCATCCAATACAACCAACTTAAATCAAACCAATATCACTATGTGACTTACACTGGAAATCTATCCCCCCAAAAAACAATTAAGAATCTTAACAAAGAATATCAAGTAATTATTTCAACTACAAAGTAGCTAGAAGACTTTTCATATTAATCCCAAATGTTTCTTTTTAAAAAGAAAAACTAAAGGCAAACACTTTAAGGATGAAAAAATTCATAATGTACAGAATTTTTAATTTCATTATTTAATTTAAAAAATGAAAATGTAATCCTAATAATCTAGAGGAAGCACACTCTTAGAATAAATATGATGGAAACATAAATATTAAAAGGTAACATTCATCTTTTAAACATCTCAGTAAAGAAAAAAATTCTACTCATTTCAATTCTTAATAATGGGTTCTGATATAATTAAGTTCCATAATCTTGTTCTGCTTCTAATGGTAAAAAGCTGTTGGGTCAGAGATGAAATGACATGTGTTCCAATATTATCTGTAATTCAGAAATTATGCATTACTATTATGTCCAAAGACTAAGTCTAGTTTCTTTGTTGTAGGATTGCTCAAAATAGGCCTTGTGACTCTCCAAAGAGAAATTTAGAGTGATGTCAGATGCCCATACTCCTTGGGGTCAGAAGGATTAGGTAAGTCAAGCCTCACTCTACTTTCAAAATGTTCTTCCTAAACTTCCTAGAAGCAATAACTTCCAGTCCTCCTGGAGATTCCACTCAGCTCTTTCATTCCCAATTGGCCAGTTCTTAAAACAGGCCTCCTTTCCCTTTCTCTTTCTGCTGTTTAAGTTTAGTATTAGTATTTATAAGGTCTGCCTTATAAAATTGAGATTCCCTTAACAGACCCTTAGTTACATCAACCAACCAAAAGATAAGTTGCTTTGAAGTAAAAGAAAAAACAAGGGCAGTAAGTTTGCCATTCAGCACTATTTTTCTGTGACCTACTTTAGTATGATTTAACTCATTACTCTTTTGTACACCACACACACACACACACACACACACACACACACACACACACACTGTGAAAGCCACTGCACACACATATGGAAGCTGAGGTTTCTATGTGGATGAGATAAGGAAATAATAATACTTAATAGTTTTTCTTAAATTAAAAGTTTTACTTTCTCCTAGTTCGAATGTATAGTGGGATTAAAAGTGATGGGATTTGTGCTAAATAACATAAAAATATTTACTCTCATTAATTGTTTGCCTAGCAAAACACCTCCAAAGAACTTTTCTATCTCCATCAAAAAATTAATGTTCAGATACGATCATTGTAACATATTTAGGTGACATATTTCCTTTGTCAAGAAGTTTATAATGGAAATATATTCTGTAATTAAGCATAATTCAGTTTTAAATTAATTTGTATCACTGTTGCATGTTGGTAGCGCTCTAATAACTTCATACTACAAAGCAGACCCTATAATGCAGCTGGTCAGCAGCTCCTTTGCAAAGTATCATTGCCATCACAATAGCTTTATTAATAGCAGTTAGTGTCTTGTTCTGTGACAGAAATACAACACTTCTGGGTAGACTCAAGATTGGTTTTTGATGTGTCAGACGGATAGAAGTAGAACACCTTGATCAAACCCTGTGCTAAATTATTCATATACACGAAATCTTTACAATAACTAGGAAAAGAATATAAAAAAAATTACAATTGGAGAAGTTGGTCTTGGTGAGATTTTAACTTATTAATCCAAGATTGTATTTCAATAAGGAAGTAATAAGCATGAACTTAAATCCAAAATGAGCAGGCTCCAAACACAGCATTTTTCCAATTTGGGTTAGCTTTGGAAATTAATATTAAATTCTCACCACCTCACTTCACGAAATGTGAATTTAATTTTATTGTACCTTCTCCTCAATTTCTATACCTTTAATTACAATTTGTAACTCTTCTATGAATCCTACCCAAAATTTGTGTGTTGATTTAACACAAATTCACAACTAGAAACAACAATAGCAACATCATTCATAAGTAGGAAGTAAAATAATTCATTTGAAATCACAGAACCTTACAGAACAAAAAAAGTCACAAATTGCTTAATTCAACTCAACCCAAAGATTTCATACCAATTATTACCAAGAAGTTCTCTATGTAAAACTTGTTTATTTTCTAATACTGGATACATGTATACACTTGATTCACTTAATCACTCAGTCATTCGCTTTATATTTATTTTAGAGTATCCACTTAGAAATGTTTTCTCTTCAGCATCAGAAGAAATAATGTGAGATAACTAGATATGATATTTATATACTTAGTGGGAAAGAAACAAAAAACCCTAAAAGATTTGTTCTGCACCTATCGTTTCACTTCATACAGTAAGTTTTTCTTCTCATCGAATATTCTAAGTTCAGTCCATCTTGTTGGCTTTTGCACAGGTTGTTCTTTCTTTGAAGAATTATTTTTCTCTAAATATTGACATGAAAAAAGTCTCTGTTCAGATGTAACTGCCTGAGAGAAGGCTTTCATTATCACCTTCAGTAAAGTAACATCTTGCATGCCATTATATGTTTATCATCTATCTCTCGTACAAAAATATCACCTCCATGATGGAAAGCTTTGGGGAGTCTTCTTACTGAGATGGTTCCAGCTCCTTGACCATGGCCTCGCACACATTAGCAGCTTAATAAATACTTGCTTTGTAGGACAATGAATAAAACACACAAATTCAAAGTCCAAAGTTAAAATTATGCCAAGATAATTCTAATTTCTAATAATAATTATTTAAATACTGCTATTATTCACTCTTTCTATATAGAAATTTGATGCCTGATCAAAGGTATTCTGTAATAGCTCTAATAAATTATAAAAATTACATGGAAAACACTGAATTGTAGTTTTTGCACATACACATCCCACATCTCACTCTTCTGATTATCGCACTACAGATAACCACTGTAGACAATTTTGAACTCTAGTTTCTGCTTTCCAGGGTAAGTGATCACTGGGTTGCATATGCCATTATGAGAAAAGAAGCAGCCATTGTACTTATCATTCTTCTGGAACTGGATATTCTGATGGGATTTAATATTAAAATATCAAATTATTTACTAAAGACATCTGATTTGCTGAAGCTTTCTTATTTTCATTTTCTACAAGTTATTAAAATTGTTTACCACATGCTATCAAATAGGATATCAGCTGATTCCATAAGCATCTTAAACTTTCAAGGACCAAAGTCTTAGTTCCTGGAAGAAGACTATATTATTTACTAATCAGTTAAGCATCATGTGTATACATTCACTTTTATCAAGTCTTCTGTTATTTGAGTTAGTATTCTATTTTTTTAGTATTCTATTATTTTCACTTCTTATCTTAGTGTCATTCACATTTACTAGAGAGAAAAAGAAATAGGGAAGAGAAAAGGAAAGGAAGGAGGGAAGGAAGGAAGAATGCAGAGAGAAAGGAAGGCAGAGGCAGAAGGAGGGAGAGAGGGAGAAGAAAAAAGAAAAGCATTGAGTTTACAGATGAGACCAGCAATGTACACAGCGCCCCTCCTACAACGCAGCACAAACACTCTGATGACAAGGACAGAGACCACTAGTCACATCTCACCTGACCCTACCTCATGGTGGGGATCACTACTGACCTTGTTGAAGTGTGACTCCCCATACCTTCGTCTGGAGATTGTGGCTCAACAGATTTGTGGCAAGGAGGGCTGCAATATATCTATCAGCACCAGATCAATGAATGCCAAAATTGAGCCTGCATCTGAATCACTGTGAGGCCTGGGTTAACACTGTTACTCAACCCTAGACTCTCCATTTCCCTGTGATATCCACATTCCTGATTAGGAAACTACACTTTGAGAACCATTTTTCTAGAGTCTTCTTATAACCAGGTGAGTTTGGATAAAAACTTTGTGCCTTCCCTACAGAAGGAAGGAAATAAATCTCTTCATCTGCTGGTTTATTTTTTAATCTAGGTAAAAACAATAGTTTAAGTCACAGAAATGATTCCTAAATTGCCAAGAATTAATCCACAATAAATCATCAGAGAGAAAGCTATGGAGAGAATATAAAGAATTTCAAAGTCTGTGTTCATGGGTCAGACTCAGAGCTCTGCTAAGTCACCACATAGCACCTAGAGGAATGAGCAAGAGCTAATTTTTTAGAAGCCGATTCAGGCACGCCTATTATTCAGAGATCCAAACTGGGCCATGGGGGCTCTAGAAAATGGTGCTTCGCAGCTCAATTCAGCCACTATAAACCCAGGCTGGCTGTACCACTACTTTGCATGAGGAATTTAAGGGGCGTGACTGCATCCTTTCCAATACTGCATTCCACATGTGACAAAACTGATCCAGCTGTTTGTCTGAAAGAAATTCTTTGCTGTCCTTAAAAATTAAAAAGCAAGTGGATATCCGTCCTCCAGGGGCAAGTCTCCAGCTGGAACCTGGTACAGGCAGTTGCGAAACAGAGACAGTGCCCTGGAGAGCATCTGCTTTTGAATTCTTACCTCGCCATAGGGGGGTTAGCCCCATCTTGCTTTTTGAAATGGCAGATTCTGGATGGAAGGTGCTGGCTTGGCCCAAAGCTCTTGAGAAGTGTTCATCCACTACTGACCCAATGTCTCCCTGGAAATAAGTGAAAAGGACACAGCGAGAGTTAAGGTACTCCATCTCGGCAGGCTGGTCTTTCTCCTCCTCCTCCTCCTCCTCATCCTCCTCCTCCTCCTCCTCTTGTTTGCTGGGAAGGGTGACTTCCAGAGAGTCCTGCATCTTGCTGTATACCGCTAACTTCTTCTGGGATGGAATAAACAAAACACAGTATCAAAGACAGTTGGTAAAAAACCATTAACTAGTTAACTTTTCACTTAAAAAAAAAGAATCTAAATATTAACATATGTTTGCAAACTGAATCTTCTTCATCTGCTTTACTCCATTCTTTCCCTCCCCAAACCAGTTGCCTCCTTCCCACACAGAGGAAAAGTCTGTATTCCAAATTTGGCAAAGAAAAAAAAGTCCATTATCAAATTGTACATTTTCAGAGTGTCAGACAGAACTTGGTGTTTTTGTTTAGTTTTGTTTTAAATCCAACTATATTAAAAGAATGACTTAAAAAATAGTGACAGATTCCTTCCAAATTTTCTTCTCATTTTAGATTTACTATTAAAGATTTAATGTACAGTAGCATTATAGTTTAGGATGGAGAAGAATAAGGGACAGGAGACCTAACTGTCTAGAGGCAGAGTAGAGAAGAAAAGAGCTTTTCATAAATGAAATAAACTAAAATAAAAACAGGAATGCTGAATCTTATAAAAGGATTTGGCAGATGTGCTGAACTCATTTCTCAAAAATCAAACTAAAATGACAAAATAAGTCTGTGTGAAGATCCATTTTGCATGGAACATATTTTTCAGATGTTCCACTTACCACCATTATCATAGAGGGGAGAAAAGATATTATTAAGGCTTACTGAAGGTATTACAAAATACTAACAAGGACAAAGTTATCAAACAAAAATGATATTCTGACATATGATCATAACTACAATAATAATTAATATGTATTATGCCAGCCTTCTAAAATCTTGTATTTAATGCTTCATTTAATCTTTACACTCCTATAACATGGTTATTACTATTATACTATCTGTGTCTTAAAGACAAAGATACCAAGGCATAGAGAAGTTAAGTAATTTGCCAAAGATCTCACAGCATGTAAGTGATAAAGCCAGAATGGATAATAGAGCATTCAGATGTAGATGTGCACAACGTGTATGAAAGCGTGTATGTGTGTGTGTGTTAGCAGGAATATCTCCTATGGAAGAAAAGTCACCAAAATGTATCTTGTGTTGTTTGTCTGAGTGATAAGTGGTATTTAATTTAATTTACTTTCTTATTTCTGTTTTTCAGTATTTCCAAACACTTTTCATTGAGCATATATTATTTTGAATATCAAAACTTCGTATAAATTATATGTAAAAAGATAAAAATACATTATTTTAGTGACTAAATAAACTTTCTATATCACCTGTTTATTGGCAAAGCCCAATCCCTTGTCACACCACTTTTCTCATTTCAGGAAAAAAAAAATGCATGGTGGAAAAATGAATCTAAGTAGAAAAAGAAATCATTCCAGCATACTCAATAAGTTCGCATATGTTAACAAAATGCATAACTCAATTCTAGTTCCTAATGTAGTTACTAGTTTAAAAATCTATAGCCACAAATTATAAATGAATCATCCAATTAATTGAATACTTTCTCCTAGCAATGAATGTGATGTTTGTGTTTGAGGTATTCCTGAAAAGTTCAGGCATATTATGAGGTGCTGCTTATTATGTTGGTGATGTTACTTATATATAAGTGTACTGATTTTTATTTATGTATTGTGTCAATGGGATTATCAATTGATGATGAATAGATAATTCATTCCTTGTGTGTGAATATGTCTTGCTGATAAATAGGTGATTCTAACAGCTGCCTGATTGTATTTCTTGTAATCAAACTGTTGTACAGATTTAAACACCTTTGTACGTAACTTCAACAGTAAAACACTGCAGTAGTACAGGTTTATATAAAATGAGGGGACCAAACAAAATGACCTCCAGTTTTAAATTTCATTATAAGATTAGCCAAATACTATGATTTATTAGTCAAATAATAGTGCTATTTTTCTGTGTGCATTATTCAAAATCTATACTGCTATAGTCTATGCAAACACTCTCTCTTGAATATTCTGGCATATTAGAAAGAAGTATTTGCTTTCCTGGCCACAAAGACTCATTATTACTTATGAGAGTGATTTCTTTATCCTGCTAATGTCTAGACTAGCATCAGTTTGTGAGAGCTGTGCTTATCATACATTTGTTTCATTTGTTTGATTTTAATATTTGTTATTTAAATGAGAATCCTGACTACATTAATTATCCAAATAATGACAAGGAGTTATTTTACCCTAAATTAATAATAGTCAATTCTTAGATGTAAGAAATTATATATATATATATATGTAAAAGATTTGAGAGCTACAAAATCTGATACAAATGTAAGCATTCTGACCAATATCAGCTATTATAAAACATCTCAATTTTTAATTGAGGGCAGTTGAATTTAAGTATAGATTTTTAATCTATTCAAGAGTCCATAATGATCTAAATGCTACATAATTTGTGTGTGTGTTTTCTACCAATTATTGAATGGCTGGACACAAATAAATTAATCTTTTTAAATTATAGCAAAATCTGCCCTTGTATCAAAACCTATCATTAGTTTTTAAAAAATCATTCTTTCTTAAAATCATCAATTCTCTATATTTTTTATTTTTTCAAAGGTATGTAATACAGCTCTGCTCAACCCTATAGAAATATGTGTGCCAAAATATTCCCCTTTGATATTGTGAACACCTGTGTTTCCATAAAAGTGAGCCTCTGACCTATCTACCAACAAGCAGGACCATAAGAATATTTATCATTCAACATGTACTTTTTTTTTAGATAAAGTTGAACTATTTTTCACAAACCATAATATTCAATGTAAATATTCACACTTCCAACACATATATTTTAGCCTCACAATGAATATCACTGGTTAAAGTAAGAATTTGAATATATCCAAATGGCCCCCAAACTACTTAAAACGCTAAATGATTTTGCATAAATGTTTTAACATTAAGTGTAGCATGAAGAAAACAGAAACATAACATTTAAAGAGCAATTAACTCTTATGATGACATTCACACTACCTTAATATTCTTTATAGATTCCTGAGCCTCAACTACTTTCTGATATCTGTACTTTGGTGTCTAATTTGCCTTTTTTTTTAACTTAGCATGTTTCTCATGTGCACTTTTGTCATATTCTATATTCACTTGGTGTTTACTTCTTGGTATGAATTTTCCATAGTGTTACATTCTTTCTTAAGAATAATATATTAAATCAAAACAACTCAAATGAAATCTCACATCATCAGAACCTAGACTTCCAGAATCAAGGTGAAATTGTAATCTAGTTCATATTTTGCTCAAGTACAGAATCACTTCCTAAAAATACCCAAAACATTCATGAATATTTGTGCTTTTCTTACAAGACCCTGAAGGACTGGTAAACAATCATCAAAAGGGACCTTAAAGACAACAAGTTGGTTTAGTAACACACATTCATGTTTCATTGCCACTGCACAGTAATGATAATTTTTTCCCAGGTAATTTCACTCTGTGGTTAAGTGAAGTAATGAGAGTTAACAGTCACAGAGCTGATGTTAACTCACAAAGGTGTAAAGCAGAAGAGTGAAGGAGAGTTGGCTTAGGCAGTGAAAACTGTAGTGACCACCTCAAAGCCTGACATTAGGCCCAACAGAAACAAACTTTAGCAGGAATGTGCAGGGGAAAGGATTTGTCTGACAAGAGAAAGGCTTCCATGTCAGGAGCCAAATACCACTAACTCCCCAAGGCTTAAGCCTGCAAAATGCCAAATGATTACTGTGCATATGTGGAAACTTTTTTTCCTAAGGAAACAAAAGTATTTTAATGAATCACTGCAATCACTGCATATTTAGAAATACTTTTTTGGGTTTGTTTTTTTTTTTTTCTTTACTGGCTATCTCTCTTAAATGCCATGATGGTTTTATGTTCAAAAGCATAGCATGAAACTATAGAAGGAGCTACTTGCCCAGGGTAAATGTATCAAAATAAGAAAGTCCATAAAAGGAGTCCTTTGCTCTTTAATCATATTTTTTAAATTCACTTGTGTAACAGATTTTTAAAAATATCACAGAAAGACTAAAGTTTTTATTCTAAACCTAGTTTGAGGCAGATGGATCAGGAATGGGAGGTGGGTTAACTGAAGGAAAATATGCCACAGATCTTTTATATATTTTTGTTTCATTCACTTAACTTTCTCTGACACACAAATATTTTGCAAGAATAATTACTCTCAATTTACAAATGCAAAAATTGGTTTACTTGGCCAGGAACATCTAACAACTAAGTAGCAGATATGGGCTTAGAATTATTTCTGTCTGACTACAAGGCAGGTGCTAATAAAATAGACTAAAGAACATGAGTCTCTATAAGAACTTATTTTGGCAGGAACAAATAGAAGGCCACAGTTAGCAAAACTTCCCATACTAAGTAGAATAGTTTGAAGTTATTTATAACATTAAAAATTAGAGTTATAAACATATCAGAGATATGTGACATATCAGAGATATGTTACTAAGTAATGAAATGATTTGGGGTTTTTTTTGTTTTTTTGTTTTTTGTTTTTTCTATGGTGGAACTGAGGGCTTAGAGCTTGCCAAAAAGGCACTCTACAGCTTGAGCTGCACTTTAGTTCATGATCTTAAAAATTATACATGTGTATCTAGGTAGCACTGAACTTCTGTATATACTGACCCTTTTAGTACCAGATTCATAATACTCTTACCTACAGTTTTTCTAGAAATCCTATTGTGGAAATGTAAGCAGAGTCTGCTTATAAGAAATAATAAAACCTCAAGATTCTGTGTTTGTTTTTGTTTACAGGAGGAGCAAACCAAAAACAGTATCACTTAACCTGATGTGCTGCTTTTGACCACATGGCTTCTAAATGATTCTCATTATCAAAAATCTGACCCACTCCCTCCAAGGATGAAAATTTTCCAGTTTTTATGATGTTCAAAAAAATGTGCCACAGGCTTAGAAGCAATTTCAAAATTTGCATTCTCAAAATGTTTTATGCAATGATCACATCATTAGGGTATGTGTTCTTTTTCAAACCAACTACTCTGAATGAAACAATAGTTTCCTATGTATAAATTTCT